TTCCTGGCTAATTAGTCCCAACTGTTTCCTCATCCCCTACACCTCTGTGTGGTGGGCTAATTAAAAGCCAAGCTGCATGTCAAATCATGAACATCACCTTTCAGAACTGAGTTTGAAGAGACTAGGACCTTGCAATTGCATTGCATATTAAATCATATATAAATGTCTCTTAAATGTCACTTAATACAGATACATTGGAAGAGTTACGATGTAGCAGCTCTTCCATCATCCCCTGCTCTTTTGTTTTAAAAGATTTTGAACAGGAGAAATTTAACAAAACTGAGCCTAATACTTACTATCAAATAGTTAAATGTTTCCACATGCTTTTTATTAAAAAGGCAACATTTTAATCAGAAACTTTTCAGGTAAGAAACATTAGTTTATATGACAGTGTAACATACATTTCCTTACTATTTTTGAGAATTTAATGATCTTTTCTAAAAATGGCAGTTGAGACCACCTAAAAGGAATATGCCCAGCTAAAACAGGATACTCTAGGAAAACTTGAACTTGTAAGGACTACCACTTCCACTGCAAACTCTGTGCCCTATAGGTAAGTCTCCTTCTTTTCGATAGGTACTTATACATGCTCAGCAGCACAAGAGCTGAAAGTTAAGGTTTTCAGTAACACCAGCATGCATTGGTTAGGTACCCATTTGTGAAAGAATACATTATTTTAACATAGGGAAGTATGATGTCTGAGTTTAGGGTTTGTATTAATGAGAAAAGTTCCCCAAAGCCAAGTTCACAGAATACAAATGGACACTGCAAGCTTTATTAGAAAGTGCATGTTTACTTTATCCATGTTATTTGATGCTTAATATAAAATAAAATTCTGGCAAGGAAAGAAAAAAAAAACAATAAGACTTTAAAATGATCTTATTTTGAAATAGATGTCTTTATTTCCTTTTGATAAACTCAACATTCATGTTTGTATCATTTGTTTAAAGTAAAACTCCTTTCCTTACAGATATCCATATTTCAGTTCTTTTAAATTTTTGGAAGAGAAGTAATTAATATTTTCTTAGCATCTGTGATGCTGCAAAGCAAAAAAAAAAAAAAAAAAGGCCAAAAAAATATATCAGGAAGGAAATAGAATCACGTCTGATAATAAAAGCCTCTCTCTCCCCCACACATGAGAAGGCTACTTATCTGACAGTCGATATCAGTGAAGAGTTTCAGGAATTGACTGCATACAATTTTATCATAACATGCGCAGAAGGGCAAAGTTTTTCTCTCGGTAGAGAACAAGAAAATTTCAGTTAAATGCTGCCCTGTAGGGTCTTTCTTCCTTCTTGATTTCAGAACGTGAGAGTGTTCTTGTGGCATTTTTCTTATAATAAACACTGGATTCTTGACTGTTCCAAACTTCTGGAGAAATCCTCTGTTCCTTGGCATTAAGTAGCTTCTACTTGGAGTTTTTAGATACTGCAATATTTTCACACACTAACAGAATTTACCTACCTGACTGACAGAGCTGAGGTCCCATAGTAAATAAGCCGGATTAAGAGTCAATTCTTTTCCATCTATAGTCATGTTCTTCTTCGCTTGCTTGCTCAGCTCTTGGAAACCCTTAGGGTTATTCAGTTGCAAGAGAGCCACACTGGCTTCTGAATAGAGCTGCAACTACACAGGCAGAGAAAATCATTTCTGGCATTTATCCATGTATTCCTTTGCTAATACAATTCAATTTTTTTGTTATATTTTTCCTCACTGGAGTTACTAATAAAAATGATAGGTAAAAAACTCATCTCAAGACTACTATTTTGTAAGAACACAAAAAAAAAAAAGGAGTAATAAAATGAGAAATGAAAACTGACATTTAAATATACAAAACACTTCTAGATGCTTAGTTTCATTCTTTCCAAATAAATTTATCTTTATGCAATATCCAGCAACAATAAACCTGTGCATGTTAAGAATAATTCTTGAATAAGTGAAGTTGCCCTGCCCATTCCCTCCCACCCCCCAAAACCAAAATTCACTTTTTATTTAAACTTTATTTTGCGGCTGAAAGAATTACACTTTTTTTTTTTCTTTTTAACCACGTGACACTTTTCTGAGTAAATTAAGGCCATCAATTCATCTATGCTTTCAGAAGCGTGAAATTTTCAGAATGGTTTGCAGATCAACCTACAGTTCAGAAATCTGAGATACAAAGGGCTCCAGAACTAATCCATGTGGGTTTCCAAGTCCTTAACGATGGTTGCCAATATGCTGTTAAGGTCATTTCTTAGTTGGGGACTGTTTGATCTGTTCACTGTTTTTATCTCTTGCCACTAGTGATTCTGGATATCAGATTTCATAACGCACAGGATACTAAGGGGCTCTTGCAGTATATGCCCTCTCTAATAGCTAGTATACCTTGCCAATTGCAGGACACCGAGACATTTCACCAAAAGTATAGACTAACCCAATTAAATGCCGTGTTTACCATATGTAGTAGTGTGAGCAGGAAAAAAAAACACAACAACAAGAAGCTAAAAGCACAACTGCGCTTTGATTCTCCAGGGGCGTGCATTCAACAGTCAGACTGAGAATAAACGCAGTTAATCACTAGCCATATTTATCAGATGCAATGCTTAATTTATGTTCCTTTATGCAACATAAAACAAATAAATACAGATTTTCAGTGAGAGAAGATCTGTAAAAGCTATTAACAAAAAGTTTCATTTGAATGCTGTCAGGTAAGAAAAGAGCAGAACCATCACAAATTTTTTATTCAAAATTCCTTTAGGCAATTTTGCCCCCATTTCTTTCTTTTTCTTTTTTTTTTCTTTCTTTTTAATATTAAATCTGACCTTTTCTGCTTGTTTTAAAACAACACTTGTCCCAGAGTTAGCACCCCTTCCTTTAGCAAGACCAGCTGTCCTGCTTGTGACATTTTAAAGCTGTTGATGGTTTGACTCATGTGCTATTTGAGAGCTTTCAATCTGACTTATGAGGTCTGCCATTAGAAAAATCTGATAAATCTCAGACCTTCCAGGGAATCATCTGAACCTACGGGTGGAAAGGATGGCTTCAGTAGCTAAATGGCTGAGGCATAGTTACGGGCTGCAGCTAGCAACCTCCAAAAATATCAATATCAAAATGCTACAGATTGCAAAGCTGCCATCAGTGGGTATGTGCTTTATTTAGGAATACAACAATGTCACACAGTCCCTTAGAATCTGCCATCTAAAACATACAAGTCACAAACCAAAAGTATTACCTTTTACAGCTTAAAAAGTGTTGAAGAACATTTAATTTCTCTTTAACTTGTTTCCACCAAGACAAATGCAACAAAATGGATGCATATACTGCAGATTCCTAACTAGACTCATTACAAACCCCTTTTCACCACTAGTACTGCACAAATGTTCTAGGTTTTCGATATATGACAGTCCAAGTAGAAACAACAAGTAGTTAAGAAACAGAGTCCACTGCTCGGCTTCAAAGTTAAAGTAACCTTTGCATTGAAACCCTGCATCCAAAAAGCATTTTTCCCCCCAATAGCTTCTTCAGAAACAAGTACTTTCGTAGGCAGAGCCACCAATGAAGTTAGATTTCTACAAAGTCATCTGGTGAATTAATTATCTTGTTTCTAATAAATTGCTAGCTCTAACCAAAGCTTTTCCGTTGCTGATGTATTCAAAATGGCATTCTCCCACGGTAGGTTTTCTGATGTCTTACAGCTATCGTGCTTCTCTCAGTGGGGACATTCCCTATATACAGCCATATGCAGTTGCCCATTTTCCTTGAAATATTACGTCCTAGAATTCATCTCTACCCTGACAAAATTGGTCAGCAGGCTCAAAGGTTATTGTACAAGCAGAACAGAAACAAACAAGCAAGCACAGGCATAGAGTCGGCATGATCAGACAAACCTTGGCTTCTAACCTGAGGCTAAAATAAAAAAGAATGTATTATATATCACGCAGGCACACATATCCACACAGAATACCACGGATACATGTGTACATAACGTACATGAAAAAGGTTTCTCTTGAGAAAGACACAAGAAAAATGCATTCTCCCCCACTAGGTAGCTTTAAATGCAGGTCCTCTTTCGAAGCCAGTGTATTGGGCAATGCTTAGACTTATTAGACCAGGAGGCAGGCCAGACGGGCTAGGCACCCCAAACACAAGTAAACACTTTCATTTCTACATTCTCAAGCTAAGAGGTCTAGAGAGGAGATTTCCTAATACCCGTGCTGAATAAAGGAGTGTCTCATCGCTTAACAACCATTATCAGCCATTAAGAAGATAAAAAGGAATAGTTTAAAGACTGGTTAAGAGTCCAGGTCCCACTTCAGGAGAAAACTCGTATGTCCATTTGGAGAGGAAAACGGGGGCTTCGGCTTCGGAAGGGGAGCTGTGTTTGTGCTAAAGAGTGACAAAAGACCTTAAGAATACAAAATACTATTGTCTTTATAAAGGAAACCTGATGAACTAGTAAGACAACTTAGTAGGAGGGTCTCCCCTGAAAGCGAGCCCAAACCAATTCAACTGCCTTATTTTTTCCCCACAAAGCTGACTGTTATATCTGTGTGAACAGACAACACTGTTTCCTGAAGCCACCTGCCTATTCCTTCAAACACTGACAAGGAGATCAGCACGAATCCCAGATCCTCTGTCATCAAGATCAGCAATCGCAGGCTCTCCTGTGATACGAATAACCTTTAGGCGTGCAGGCCATGCATCACCACAATACTTACTACTCTTGCATATGCTACCCCAGCATCATTGTGCCTGCAGGTTCCTACGCAGATCATCTTCCAACAGTAAGACAAGGCCATTTAAAGCCATATTATGGTTCTCAGCTTCCAACAGAGTTAGTTTTGGTGTGTGCATGTACACACGCACACATAAAAGAAAAAACAATATTTCACAAAATAAGGAGAGCTGCAAGCTTTCAATGTTACCTGAAGCAACTGGGATGTAGAATCTCAAAAGGAAAAAATGCCTTTCAACAAAAATTTCACTATTTATTATTTAAGTGAAAAAGCGTGAGCATGACAGCCTCCAAGAAAAAGTTCCCTAGTTCTCAAGTCACACGGGTCTCTCTTAGGCTAAACAATAACTATTTATTAAGAAATTTAGGCAAGCAGGAAATGGAAAAAGGGAAAAGAAAGCATTTTTTTTTTACTTATACTTGCAGAAGGATAACTAAGCTCGATATATCACCTTTACAGTTTAAAGAAATACTGCTTTAATAGCAGAAGGCTGGATAACCAGGGTAAGAGCTCCACCTAGTGGGTTACTTAATGCATCAGGAAAAGAGTGCAGAAAATAAGTGGCAGCCAAACATACCTTTTTCAACCACATCTATCTAAACACACACCATATAAAGAAACAAATGTGATCAGCAGATACCCTGATACCGTTTACCTTTTAGCTACAATAAAAAACGTAGACCATAAGTACACAAGTTCAGTAGACTAAAACACAGATGCTTCACCTTGGAAATTGACTCATTATATATGAGAAAATTACTGAGTTTTTTTAGAACAAGAAACACATGGCCTAGAGGTCAGGTCAATTTTTAGTGCTCTTTGGATTCAGAAGTGTTTTCAAACAAACAACAGAAAACAATCCGATTAAAGCAACAGCTACGCTCCTACTTTTCCTCTCCTCCCCACCTTTCTTCCCTTCTAATAGTAGCATTGGTGAAATTTTTGTGTTTATTAGTTCTTTACTTCCAGCATCGTGCTAAGAACATCTCCTTGAGAGAGAAAGAGAATAAACAAGAACCCATTAAGAATCAGGAGGATGCTATGAGACCCAAGTCCAGGATAACTCCAGTGCCCTTTCCTCGCTTCCACTAGGCATCTCACACCACTTCACACATCTTAAGATTCCACAAGTGGCAACAGCAGGAGAATCACTTCAGATTTCAGCAGAGATAGTAAACCAGTTCGGTTCTCCTACCTAACTGTAGCCTTAGCCTAGCGTCTGTCTCCCTGGCAAACAGAGAGCCATACCTGCTTATGTTTAGCACAGCTGTCTACCTGAAACATCCACTGAAATGGAGGCTTGATTCTGAACTGGGATCTTAATGAATGCTTCTGTAACAAACAAATCTCATCCACATTTCATATGCAAGCTTTTATCCTTGTAAATAAACATTTCTTACCTTTAAATCCATATATTCCATCATAGGTAAAACAGGAGTAAATTGCTGCTATCAAGAGTAGAGAACCAGTTGGGAAAGAACCTGTCACCTCACTGTGACCACACAGGTACAATAATCTCAATTTAACTGTTTTCAAGCATCCAGCACCAGGGAAAGACAAACACAGACAACAATAATGACTGGATAGAGAAATGGCAGAATGCAGTGCGTACCTGAGAAAAACGGTGTTTATACAGAGTGGTGCCTCCCCAAATCGCAGAAGAGTAGCTTTTAGGAACAGATAATGAGCTGGTCACAGTGATAACGTTTAAACAAAGATAAGAGCACACTAAGGAGAAGAAAACCAGCACTAACAGAGAAAGACTTGTGATCAACTGGATAACGAATGATTAACAACGAGGGAAAAAAACTCAATCGAGACCAAGTAAAAGAAAAATCATGTAGATAGCGGGCAAGGGATGTCAATTCCATGAAAACAGACAAGAAGATGGGAGACATATCCAGACATCAGAGAGGGTCTTGTGCAGACATTCACCTGCATGGCAATGGAGAAACACAGAGAAGCTAAGGTGTCGTTGAAGATTTTTAAAAAGTTAAACTGGCAACCACCCTGGATACAGACAACAGATTAGCCAGCTGTTTGGACATAAGCAGAACTGAAACACAGAAAGAATCCATCGATTATGTTTTTTGCTGGAGTAAATAACACTGCTAAGAGATTCTGCTGGAGCAGGAGGAGAAAAAGGGAGGAGGAAAAAAAAAAAAAAAAGATGATTACACCTACCTAGAGACAGCAATCAAAAAATTAAATTAAGGTCCAGGCACAATTGCTCCACTCCTTAACAAGTCCTAAATCCATGAAAAAGTAATGAAAACCAACAGATTGCTCAAAAGCTGTTATAAGGAAAAATATGGAGTCTCCTCCAGAGCATCCACAGGAAAAGGACATTTCTTGGTGGATTATCTCTGCTATAGCACAGAGGCCACAGGCTAGCCTAAGAAAAAAGGCTGTGCTTTACAAATCGAAGGCAGAAAACCTGGAGAGAATTGTGAACTCCTCTATGCTAGAAACACCGATACACAGAGGAGTATCAAGAAGAAAAAGCACTGGAACAATACTTAGATACTGCAGCCAAAGAAATAACCACACCTATTGAAGTTAGAAAGTGCCTGGGGGAAGCTGAGGAACAAAACAAGCAACAACAGATATTTAAAACAAGGCATTTGTGTAACAAAAAGATTAGTACAAGCTGTGACACAAGATATGGGGGGGGGAAGGGCAGGTGGTAAAACATCAAATCAGGATTGACAGAAGGATACTTAAGGGTCCAAGAAAGACATATAAAAGTTAGTCTGAAAAAGGGCCACTAAAGGTTAATGATGCAAGAAATCAGAATGCAGAAAAAAGCTGGGCACTATGGACAAAAGAATTGCTTTAAGTCAAGATCATTTTGGAAAAAGAGGACAAAACAACATCTGCTGAGAGCACAGAGAATGAAATCCAGATCTGAATTGAAAGGGGAACACTCCTCAGAACTGTGCTAATATGGGAGCTTACATCTATGAAGTTAGACTGGAGAACAAGCACTGCCTAGGATGGTGCTCCTGGATGTGGAAGCAGACAGATTTCTTTTCTGCCAAATTCTCTCAGAAATGACAGGAGGCAATATTATTTCAGACACAAATTTGGTAATTAGCGAGGACATAATAAAACAGCTGTTCCTAGAAAACAGCTCTGGGTCAGTGAAGCATGAGTCAGTTTGTTTTAAATTAAAATAGAAAGAAGCGGTAAAGAACATATCATTACCAAGTTTCTTGATTGCTAACAGGCAAAGTTTAAGAAATGAAGAGAGCTGGTAATTGAAGTCAAAGGCTTTCTGAGCTCTTCAGCTCCATTAAATCAAATGGGTTAAAACTACCAGGAAACTGTGATTTAAGCTGCGACAAAGAACTAGAAAAAGCTCCGAACCTAAATGAATGAACTGGCACTCAAAGATCTTGAATAACTGGTTGGACATATAGTATCTCCATCTTTGGCTCCAACTGAGAAGTGCCAACAAGGAGATGGTTACAAAGATACCAGTCTGCAAACTGGTATTGTTATTTTACCATTCTTACTGCCTAGAAATAGGCACAGGTTCTGGCAAAACCACACCACTGCAGACAGCTTCTTGGGAAACGAGAATCTGGTGGTAGCAATTCCCCCAAAATAATCATTGTCTGTTATCAGATGAGTTGTCAGATGCTTGACCTTGCTTCTAAATGCAGAACTACATTTTAGCTCTGTGATTTCCAATTATCAGGACTGTCCAGCTAGACTTCTCCTCTTTCCTGTCAGGATAAAGAGATCAATTAGACTGAGATGTTGTTCTCTGTAGAGAAATTATGCAATTTTAGTTTTTCTTTTTAAACTACTTTGGATTTGAATGTGTCTACATGTATTCCTCTTTCAATATTCCACTTAAGTGGTAAAGAGTTGGGTTTTTTTAAAGCAGTTTGAGCGCCGGACATTTGAACGTTATTTTCAATATGGCTGTATCAACAGTGTCTGTTCCCCTCTAACATCTCTACGTTCAGGTTGTTCAAACATCTCAAGGTCAGGAAGCATTCAACTGTTCCTCTTCTGTGCTTGAATTAAGAACCTGGTGTCTCAAGAGAACAAAACTGAAGTACCACCTCCCATTAGATAAGCATCTCATTTCTCCACAGTAAAAGCCATTTCTTTAAAGTGATTAAAGAATACTCATTGCGCAAAGCAAGCAGAGACTGGCAGACTGACCATATGAATATCCGCTGCAATTCAACCCATGAGCCACTAAGGAAAAGGAGGAAAGGTGCTGTTGCCACAGCAGAACACAGCTGCCACCACTCATCCAAATTAAGAGTCGATTCGTGGATAGCAAGAAACAATTTTATGAATGTCAAGAATATGAAGCAGTGGAAAGATACAAGGGAGGCTGGGCAGAAACAGCGGCTGCACTGGTTGTAACAAGCATAACCTAGCATACAGCAAGTCTCTGATGGTCTGCCAGGCTTGGGTTGGCTATGTACTACGTACATATCACTGTAAAAAGTTCTGGTGACGCCTCATTTGAAATGCCGTATAAAGTTCTAGTCAATTGTGTTGAAAAAAGATGGATTCACAATGGAAGAGTGGCAGGAAAGTGCTATTAGGAAGATGAGAGGAACAGCAAGCCAACGCTGTGGGAAGAGCACAGCCTAATTAACTTAGCAAAACAAAAGCCAGCAGAAGTCATACCTGCTGTCTATAAAATGCCCTAAGACGTAAACAACAAAGGCAAAAGAAAAGAGCTATTTAAGCTAACAGAGTGTGAGTAGGAAGAGGGGCACAAATATGTTTATTTTGTAAGGTTTCTAACTACTATTAGTGAGATTCTAAGACAGCCTGCTAACAAGAGCTGAGACAAAGAGGAAGAAATTCAACTTGTATTAAATTGCAGTGTGACCAGCCTATGAGAGGGGTTACATGATACAGTTCTCAGCAAAAGCAGAATATACAGTTTAACAACCTGAACTGCCAAAGAGAAGCAAGGAAAGCAAGACGTGCTCATCTGAGCACCAAGAACAAGCTGTAAAGTGAATTAGCACATCCTACAGATGGCCATCAGAACTAATCAAGACAGATTTCCTATGGATTCACATCCTGAGTCTCTACATACCTGTACCCCTCCCTTCTCCTCTGCAAATTGCCTGGCCTCAGCCCCTCTCTTACCACAGCTCCTGTACAGGATTATCCAGCTTCATTAACTAGCAACAGGCCAGTACTGTTCACCTAGCTGAGCACATGCCTCAGAAGACTGCTCGATCAGATGTCTCGATTACATAAGCTAATGATTTTGACAAAATTTAGAAACTTTACCTCTGTCCATAAAACTTGGCTCTAACTGGAAGACGTGCCCAAACATCAGGGGAGAATGGAAGGCATGAAATATTGATGGACTGCACAGTCACATAAACTGATATACAGCTGCTTTGCAGATGGGTAAGCTGAACTACAAGTTGTTCAAGACCATAAAGAGTACTTGGTAGAGTAAAGAACACAGCGTTCAGCTATGAAACAATTTAAGCTTCTCATTGCTAAAATAATTCTTCCAAAAGGCAAAGAGGGGAGGAAAAAACAAAAAAGAAATCTAAGAAACTACATAAACAAAGTTCTGTCACATTAAGTAAATCAGTGATATAGTGCACTTGAATCAGATACGAGCCTATAGCAAATCGCTCAGGAAAACCGATAAGGCTGGTACTCCTGTTTTTGACCAGTTGCAGGCTAGTAAATCTAATGCTCAATTGCTTGCACTCTCCCTGGAGGCACATAATAGACAATCAGTCTTTTGAAGGCAGTTACTTGAGTCACTGCTTACTACACTTCACAAGTCAGGCAGAGACACTCACACAGGAAAAAAAAAAGATTACTATCAGAAACATCCTAAGTCACCTGCAACAGTTCTTCTGCTAAGTGGGCTAGGTCCTATATGTAAAGCATTCAAAAAATATATATAACTAAGTTATTCTTTCCTTCAGACCCTTACCAATTTTACTTTAGAGGCCAGGCTCTCCGGTAGTTTTGTTCGTAGCTGATTTGTTTCTTTGAATGTAGCTGGAAATCCACTAAGGAAGGCCAAGTCTTGCATTAACACCAGACCTGGAACTTCTTTGTCTGTTGTCTACAAACAGGAAGACAGAATATAAAGAAAGTCCTTTTTGAATTTACAGTAACTCACACTTCTCCGTCAATCCTTAATCTTATGACAGAGTTAGTGTATATTTTATCACTTACCCAAACCCCAAAATTTAAATAAGAGTAATTTTAAAAGCTTTCATTTCTTACTACATATGAGTCATGGAAAGACTACAGCAGAAAGGTTAGCTTTTCTACATGTTAATTAAAAAATTTTAAAAGTACATACCAAATAGCCCCTCCATACTATCTGTTTGCTGCTGTCTTTTAACATTCCAGAATGGGCAGCTTCAACTGGAACAAATAAAACATTGCAAATCCAAAATTGGAGGTCACTTCTTCTGTATGTTCTATTAAACGAGATCAGCTCTTGCAAATTAAAAGGTTTTGGATGCTTATGAAGAACTGTCTTTACGCTTGGCTAATAATTCTCAGTGGTAAAATAGACAACTGGCTGGGCACTACATATTAAACAAAGTAAGGACTCTGCACCTGCTTTAAGGTCTTACATATAAAGGCTGAATATATAGACAATTTTGTTTTTAAGGTGGACAATTCTTCGAGCAAGGGCAGAACTTTCTGTACAATACTGAGCCTAGACTTCATAGCAGTTCTAAGATTAATCGTCCTTAGTGTCAGAAGACTGAGGTTTAGCTTATCAGTGCAACACAAATATTCAGATACCAGACTTATTTTGCAAAAGTGTTCTTAAGCACAGAACTCTAATCTTTCATAATCAATTCTCTGGGAGGTAAACAGACAGTATCATTTATATCGCCATTTAGGGGATATAAATTAGGGGAACAGATTGAAGAGGAAAGATTCACTTGCTAAAATCAAACAGAAAATTAGTGGCAGAGTCAGTAACGGAAGAAAAAAATCATAATTCACAATAACTTAGTAAAAACTTCCTCTGGAAAAACTGGCTGGAATCTGACAAATAGGCTCTTACCATCCTTAGGGCTATCAAAAACAATTACTGTCACATTGGTAGAAGGATTTTTTGGTTTTGCGACAAAGAACATATTGTTAGCAGCTTGTAAAGCAGGATGAATGGACAGCAGGTCTTTCAGCGTGACATTGGAAGGCAACGCAGGATCCAGGACGAGCATTGGCACTTTAATGCAGTGTGTCAGCAAACATTCCAGTTGCTTCTCACTAGAGCAAAATACCAAAGACGTATTTAATGCCAGTAGAAAATTTAAGATAAAAATCACCGTGAGATACAACGAGAGACACATTTTTATAAAAATCTGATTTATTCTTTGTAACATCAACTGGGGGAAGGGGGGGGAAGAAGGAAGAGAATGACTGAGATGATTATTTTGCTGCTAAGAAGAAATATCTCGCTGTTACAGTTTAGTTCATTCCTATTACTGATTCCCCAATCCCACATACACACACCTCTTCTCATTCAAGTATTCGTGTTGAATTTTGTCAAGATTTGACAGTTTGCTGAGCTTTGACCAAAGAGAAGACCTTAAAGGTCTCTAAATGGCACCACGACCAAAACAAATAAGAACAGGACAGACCTGTACATTATAGAAACTGTCACACTTTAAGAAGCTCATATTTGTCACAGTAACATTACTTCTATTCAACATACATATTATCATGCTGTCAATTTTTCTTTAAATGACACAGAAAGAAACATTCACAGGTCATGTAAAACCAAACCACCCCCACAAATCAGCATTTGCTTCCAACTAAGAGCGAGTAGGATATCATTTATTTTGATTTACAGCCAAGACCAAAAAAAAACAAAAAACAAAAAACTCACCTCTTTTTAGTTGGTTCTGTTGCATTCTTTCCAAGGATTTCCCTATTAGAAAATTAAAACATCTATATTAGATAACCCTGAGTTGACTGTCAAGAATTTAATATTCAGATTTCTAACAGAGTCCGGGAGACGTTGTGAACTTCAGTGGCTTTTGTAACAGCGCCAATAACCCAGCTATAACACCACCAAGGCCTTGCCGTTTGCCTACTTAGGCTAACTCAGGCTTACACGCGCACGTAGGGTGACACACGCTCCCTCACCACTCACCCTTGCGCAACATAAGCTCTTAAATTCTTAGTTTTGCTGACAGTTGCAGACGTGGGAATCTTTTTGCTAACGTTTAAGCTTTTCAGGGGGTATTATCAGACTATTTAATGAAACTGCTGTTGATGTGAAAAGCACAGGTAAGAAATCAGGATGAGGTATATGTTGATTGTTTTCATTGTTTTGCCTAACATATGTATTCTGATAAGGCCTGTCATGCATTGGCCACGTGCTTGTAGAAGCTAATGAGGATTAACGGGTAGGTAGCGTAATACTGACACTAAAAAAAATAAAAAATCAGAAGGGCAGCCCGCTACACACACCAGCAGAAAGAGAGAACCACCATCCACCAAAAGACTCTCCCCTACTGAAGAAAAAAGCACCTGGACAGGGACTAGTTTGATTCAGGTGGAACAATAAGCGAGTGACAACTTGCTAAGCTTTGCGATGCAACACAAAATATACTCTCACTGGCAAAAACGTATAGTGTCCTTGCCCCTGTCTTCTGCAGCCCTCTTTATCCCATAGAACAATCCTTGCTGTAACAGTACTAATTTCAGAATACATGAAAAAAGTAATGTACAAGGGAGAGAAGCAGATGTCCTTGTAGATAACAGATGTGACATGGACATGAGTTGTACTCATGAGCTTGATATCAACTTCCCTTTCCTACACAGGCTTTACTGAAGAACTCAATATATGTTTTTCCCTTTGCAAAAATGGGAATCAGCATCTTGCTGCCCACCGATAACATGAAGCTAAAAATCACTAATGCTTGCAATACACACTGCTAGGAAGAGATTAGTATAAATACAAAAGGTTTTTTGAACACAGATCGTGTCTATATTTAAGATGTTTAAATTTAACATATTTAAAGTCCTATTAATACCTTCACAGTAGAAGTAGCAAATAAAAAAAAACAAAGACCCAGAATTTCATTTTGCGATCAGATTATCAATGGTACCTAACTGCAAGCCATGATATGACAAAAAACAGATTCAGATTCTTCTGAATTGAACTATTACAGCACTTAAAATATAGTCTTGTTCTTTAACTTCGTATTTTTCTGGCCAAAATGGATCAACAAACCGCAGAAATCTATTGTGAACTAGATCAATGGTTAGAGAACACAATTCAAGTAATTTGCAGCAGCCTGTGCTTGCTAAAAAATTAAGCTATGTACTGTTTGAAGCCTTAGATGAGTAATTTTGTAGAACGGCATAGCACAAACTAAAACACTCAACACAGCCAAACATGTCTTTCCCTGCTGCCTTGGTTAGAAGAGTGAATCATACTTTTATAACCTAAACGAATTATTTCTTCCTTCCTCAGTTTTTGCATTTGGGAGACTGCAAATCTAACATTAAAAAGGAGCCTTTAAAATATATATTTAAATATGATTTTTGTTTATTAAGTCCATCGTAAAAAGAAATAACTGGGGAGAGGGAGAAAGAGCGGTGATGAAGACACGTTATACATTTGAACTACAGGTTTTTTTCCTGTTTCCAAACAAAGTTATGGAAAACAACAGAAAATGACTTACACACAAGGCACAGTCTTCTGCATGATAGTTTACTAATTCAGGAGAGAACAGCCTTACTTTAAATTATTATGCTTTGTATCTTAAACAGTTGTCTGATTAGACAGTACTTCATAGTTAAATATAGAACTGAAACAACGTTTTGATAATAATCACATGAGGAAACGATAACATTCACTTTGATTTTCATGTTGAACAACATAGGAAAACAAAAAAAGGGTCACTATTGCATTAGATTGTTCCTGCCAGTTAAAGGGGGGAAAAAAACGTAAAACTATTACCGCATTATTTTCTGTTCTTCCTCCATCTGTTCTCTGACCTGCTGCAATTCTTTGATCAGTTCAACATCTGTGCCGTTCACCCAGGTGTACACCACATCAATCGGCATAGGTAAGCAAAGCCTACGTAATTCAAACGAAAGCTACGTGAGCTGTTTAATACTACATTAGAAGTGTTCGTGGCATCATTTGACAGCAGCTTCTGGTAAACAACAGTAACACTTAGAGTTTGAGCTGCCAACAAGACAAAGCAAAAAGCTTCTCTTTAGCTACGTATCATCTCTTAATTATACACAAGCCTTCAACAAAACAGCCCAGACAAAAATCAGGAAAAGGACAGAGTGGCTGCAACAATTCAGTAACAAAATGAAATATGAACTTTATATCCTAAATTTCACTTACATGTTAATCTAACCAACTTGTCTGAGCTCATCAAATATTTCTCAAACGAGTAACAGCACCCAGGCACATCCTTAATTCAGAGACTACTAAAATGAGAGAAGACAGCTTAAGGTATAAAAACTCTTAAGGCATACATTGCTACTTAATTGCCCAGAGCCAACAGGACCTCAGTAAGACCAGGTCTTTATCCCAGGAAAAAATCCCTCTCGGATCTCAATGGTAGGGAATTTCATAAACCAACAACCTAAGTAAACTGCATGAATTCAGACTCTAGACAAAAATGATCAAACTCACTCTCAACACAATTTGATGGACTTTTGAAAGATCACACATTTTCTAGCATACTTGATGCAGAACCAGCAAAAAAAGTTTTTCACATCATTTTTTTCTATTAAATTTAAGATAATTTCCTCTCTGAGGCCCACAGCTTTGTTTCAGCAGGTACTTCAGGCTGCTGGCAGAGATGAAGCTCTCAGGCCCAGAGAGCAGGTGAACGCCCCAACTACTCTTTTCAAAATTTCCAGGGTCAAGCTATTCAATAATACTTCCCTAAACTGTAGGGTGTGACAAGCAACTTTAATTGAATGCAATAATCCATCCTCCTGTCAAGCATTTTAAATTGTAATTTATTAACCTAAATCCTTGGGTATTCTTAGTTCTGTCTTGCCTGGACAACATCTCCGCCTCAACAAAACAGGCAAGACAAGTGAGATAAATGAGAGAAAAACAGCCTTTGGACAGCAAACATTTCTGAGCGTTTTCTTAATGCTAAAATCTACAGAGTCACATAACGTGATTTTCAAAGAAAGGGCATCCTCTCTCTGCCCAGTGCATCCTTCAAAAGATAGTCAAAAAAAAAAAAAAGAAGAAAAGAGAGATGGATTAGAGATGAGCATCTCCTTTCTCCCCTCACACCGTACGACACGGCTGGCCACAACACGAGACAGGAACGTTCTGTATTCAGTTCAGCAGTGTTGCTGAGAACTGAGCTGCGATACTTAAAAAGCAACGGTGGGTCTCTCTGAAGACAGCTGGAACGTCAAATAAGAAGCACTGCCTTCCCCAGCACCACCACCACCCAGAATGCCCTGCTCATCTCTGATCTGCAATACCATCACGCAGTCTGCAAGAGGCTACCTTCTCAAACGGCAAAGAAAGCCAACTTACTGAATACAGTTACCCCTTGAATCCGCTATTTCACCTCTGCCTCAAGAGACAACACCGGCTTCTGGTTCATTAATGGGTGCAACTCAAGGTGTTTTTTCCTTACGCACCTTAAGAAGTCCTTCACAAAATTAGAAACTTCATGGCAGGAGTTCTTTCAGCTTTTCTACATTTGTTGTGATGAGTTAAATTATTGGATTGACAGTCCCTTGACTTCTACAAGTAGGACAAAAGTGTTTTAAGCGGAAACACCTTGCCTCAAGTCAGCTGATTCCAACAATGCACAACTTGGTCTTCTGGGCAAAGTGCAGAGCTTGTTTACCCAGGCTTCACCTAAGAATATAAAACATGGAGTAGGGAAAAAAAAATCCAACTCTTTTAGGGTATGAGGCAATTTTAGTACTATTTTGACCTCTGTGAAGCCTCCCTTCCCCCCAGTTTATCATTTGCTAACAGTGTGCTTCTGCACAGTTTATTAAATGTTGCTATGTTATTTGCTACACTTGAAATTTGTGCCACTGAAATGATGCCATTTGCAGCCAAACGCTGACAACCTCTATAGAGAGAAAGCATTTATGGATTTTTTTTTAAATGGTCAGATATGTTAATTCTGAATTAATCTTGATGTGACAAGTTTGTTCTTCATTAGCAGGGATTAGAGAGACTAGTAAAGAAAAAGAAAGCCATAAAAGATAGTGAACTGAACTGTTTGCAGAAACACTAGTCTAATTGCTTAAAATCTCTCCAAATACTCAAATAAATGTTCTTAAAGCATTTCTACAGCATATTAGCCTACTTTGTTTGGGAAAGTAGCCGTTATCAAACATAACAATTAAAAAATACCATAGGCAAGTTTAGAGCTCCCAATTAGGATCAGCAACAACAGTGTTAACATTTCACCTTTTTGGTCTCTGACAGAGCTTTGCTTGTTTTCATGGCATCTTATAAACTCTAGGTGGTTTTTATCTTGAAAAGTACGTAGTGGCATTTTGGTTTAAAATTAAGAAGTAGTAGTAGACCCATTTCAATATTACCTCAAACACTACTTTTAATACGGAGTCTTTTGCAAGTTGTTCAAGGTCAGAAGAGATTAAACATTTTCTCCCCTCAAATTTTAAAGTCGCGTTTTTCCTTCATCTTAATTTATGCATTTGGTCTTCATTGCAAATTCCAGTCAGGCAGAGAGATGAAGCCCAAGATTAGTTGCCCAAGTGGGAATTCGGTAATACCTCTCTACAGAAGGTCATCAACTCTGGCCTCACTCGGCTCAACAATGGTGGCTTCCCCACTACTGACGGCTCTCACTGGCTATACCATACAGAACTCAGTCTGTAGCTTCTATAACATGGAGATTGTATGCTTATGTTTTGTTGCTCGCATATTTTGGACTTTTAAATATGATGTGGTCATGTCCTGGAATAGCTAAATTACAATTCAGCAAAATGCAGAAGTTATTGGTGGAGAGCTGAGAAAGCAGAGTTAGTATTCAAGACACGCAAATATGTATGCAACTCCATTATTTAGCTGCCTTCTCTCCCTTTTATTCTCACACAAAAACTGATTAAGTAGGTCTTCAAAAATGTTTTTGGATAAGGTGACTTAGTAAATACCCCTGAAGTTTGTATTCCGCTATCTCAAGTTGCATAGGAGGCCAAGTAACAAAAGATGGAAGTTTAGTAGCTGGCATGACTACCTGTAAGTGCAACAGCTAGGATGCCAAAAGGCGTGAGACCAGAGGGGAAAATAAGGCTGAGCAATTTTGAAAATGTAAGCCAAAATAAGAACTCTTTCTTGGTCTTGCAGGGAACAGTGTTCAATAGTTATTACTGATTGTGCCAACAGCCCACTGTTTTAAGTTATTTCCAAAGAGCTGTATGAGGTTATAGTCATAAGAAGATTGCCCAGGTGCATAAGTTTGACTGCATTTTACACTAAGATTTTCTTTATAACACGTAACGGTTTGACAAGAACAGAGACATTTTCCTGCAAAGCTCCCGGAAGATACTACGACTTTATTGCAGCTGAAGTTGCGTTGATATTTCCCAAAAGTCATACAATTTTTGCTTTCCACTAAGCCCTAGATCTGCTTAATTTCGGAAAGAGCAAGTTTCCTGTTCTCCAATTCTGATCTTTTTTTTCAATCAGTTCTTATTTTAATGTCAAGGAAAAACAGGCTAGGATCGAAATTGGAAGTTACAGTTTATGTAAAAAGCTCATGACACACTATATGTTATACTGATATCAGCCTTAAAAATTCTGTCAAATCACTAATGATGCAGGGCAAACTGCAGGAAGAGGTCCATCACTGAATTCACAAGATTCGATAGGAAAAAGGAATTGAAGCCCTGATAACGGACGGCTAAAATTAACAGATGCCTAAAAGTACATCCCTGCAAAGAGCTTTTTCGATATTGATTTTCCATGAATTTTTACAGGAAGTCGATATCTGCACACAAATCTCCCAGCAAACCCTCCTATCAGGCCTGACAGAACAGCAGTAAAGGCATACTGATGAACTCAATACATTAACTTTAGCGCCCATGATGAAAACCTTAAGGTTTTGCCTAGGCAATCAGTAGCTTCTCCCCAGGTACTAGGTCTTTTGCACATAATTCACAGAAATCAATACTATCTAGGGAATGCTTTACATAATCAATATGAAACAGTAAAATAGACTGCAAAAATAGAAATTGATTATATCTGTACCACATCAGTAAAATTTGCGATTTTGATTTGAACAAATTCTATGATTTTATTAAAGCCTCGTACTTATTTATTGCAGGATCAGGCATTTTTGTACTGATAGAAACAAACTACCATCCTTTCACTTCAGCACTACAGAAACATGTAAACATTAAGCTAATTATCAATTTGAACTGAATCACTCCACTTTGATCTGTCATTCCTTTGAAAGCAGGGGAGGGGAGTGGGAGATGAGACTATAAAAGGGAGAGGTATTCACAAATACTGTGCAACATACTTTTAAAGAATTACCTCACAGCAGCAAAAGCATGACAAACTGATCTGATCATTTCTACTGCCCTGTGATTCAACAAACCTCAATGCAGATTAAACATGTGCTTTCAGGGCTTTTTCCAGTCAAAGTGTATCAACACTTGACAGTCAGATGATATCTCCTTAGTAGCTTCTTCCCTCTACCAATGCACAGCACAGCAACAATTCCTGAGCAACAGACCCTATGACTATTCAGATATGAACTACAAAACCACAAGAAACCACACAGCAGTTAACACAACTGAAACAAATGATTCATATAACTTGGGTTCCAGTTCACTGCGGGTGACTTCTCCAGGGCATTCACCTTTAAAAGCTTCTAATTACTAACTTTACAACTTTTCTACTCAATACTATCCCTCATTAGATGCCACGTAAAATTTAAGGGAAATGAAAAATAGCTTTTCAAAACACTGAATGCTGTAATTTTAAGTGTTGCTAACATCACCAGTGGTTTTAATGCTTCCTTACGGACTGGATGAATTAAATGCTTTTTATATCTGAGCTTTGTTATATGACTAGAATTTCCAGATTTCAGACATCTTCCAAGTTGGCATATTAGGTACTAACTTAGAATTTTAAAATTGGTTAAGTTTAAAGTTTGGTGAAGAGCTAGAGCCTATAAAAAGTCCTACTCAACCACATGTTATCTTAGACATTTGATTTCAATATTTGAAAATTCAAAACAGTAAAACTGCAATATTGTCAACCACAAGCAAAACTCACCGATTCTGAAAGGATTTGCCAGCAACGTTGTCTCTGTACGAATCAAACATAACATGATACTGATCTCTACTCCATTCCAAGACAACCTGCAAAGAAAGAAAACCTGATGTCATCAAATTCTAAAATTAGACACTTTTCTCCTTTTGAAATGTTTAATCAAGATCTATTTAATTCAAATTGGTCTATGCCTTAATATAGATCTGGCCAGGAATTAATTCAAGCAAAGTTATTACACTGAATCAGCAAGCAGACTCAGAACCACGGGCACACTACTTTTAAACAAATAAGCTTTCCCCCTGCCACCTCAAGAAAGGATTTCATGTTTTACGGGCACACTTCTTAAATTATTTTTCCTTTCGGTAATCTTCCCTTTGTCTCTCACCTTGTAAAAATTCAGCAAAGTTTTCTCAAAACTGAGACCTAAAATAAATATATTTGAATATAATCAGGAAAACCCCCTGCACGATTTCCACCGTCTTCCTTCCTAGTCTCATGTAGGACATCTGAAGTATACCTCTAAAAACTGAGCTTTGAAAACGAACAGCTAGGTCAGGACATACTGAATTATTCAAATTAACCTGGGCAGGAACTCTACTTTTAAAACACAATAGCCGTTTCCCAATAAAGATGACGTCTTACATTACAGCTAAACTACTGCAGCAGCTAGGTCCTTCTTCTCTCCTCCCCCCTCTGCATTTCTGCCACCTTCTCCCCCTCCTTGGGCTTGTCACTGGCGCTCACCTGCCACTGCAGTGAGCCAAGTCAGGGTGCTGAACCACCAGAAAAATTACCCTGAAAAAACAGATTAGTTTAGCTCCTTCAATTTACTTGTTGGGGCTGATAAGGAATAGTGGGAATAACACAGCTGAAGGCAGGGTTGCTTTCCCTAGCATCATCTAGCCATTAAGATCGCGTAGCTGTAAGTGCCAAGCTGCACCCAGCTTCAATGCCCTTTGTGAGCCATCCTCACTGACTGCCAGGTTCATGAATTAGGTATACTGAAAACCAATCACAAGCAGGTTCTTAGTTTGGAAAGCTGAAAGTTTACATTACATTTCTAAATTTAGAAGTATGTGTGTGTGTGTTCGTGCGTGTGCACGCTTGTGTGTGTTTGTGCATGTACGCATGTGTATACACACCCGTGTAGAAATATATGTGCATGAACATGCACGTGTATATATACAAGTGTGTATTTGTGTGTATATATACACATACACGTGCGTGCGCCTGTGTATACACACACACACTCTCTAAGCAAAGGATCGTAACTACATCTCCAACGCTAGCAAGGTATCCAATACCATGGTTCTAAATAGAAAACAAGAAAAAAAAAAAATCAGGGTTTTCAACACTAAAAAAGGGCTTTAATAAAACTTGACCTAGGAAGCAAAAAATGTAATTTGAGGTAATAAACATTCAAGTTGCACTTTGAGATAAACTTGCTATAGTATTTTTTTATAGTGAAAGTCCAACCTTAAAAGCTATGATAGCATGCTATGCAGTTTTATCAAGCTGAAGAGGTAGTGGTTCATTTTATCTGTAGAAGTATGTGTTTATATACACTGGAGAGAAAAAGAATTACCAGAAAGGGAGAATACTTACTCTAACAACACTATTCGTAGATTTTAAAGGTTACTATTGCTTATTTCTTGCAGTATGGGAACTATAATATAGACCACTTCTCTAAAAGCACTCACAATCGTAGTATTAAAAGTTACCTCCCTCTCTTTTAAGATACGTCTGGTAAAGCAAATTAAAATCTTCTAAGGAGTATACAGAACAGGAAACCTAATCATATGACTCAAGTTAATGACAAGCACATACACAATTTTTTCCAACTCTGCAAATGGTCTCTACATAATCAAAATCATACCTGTACACGTTCATGTCTCTTACACAAAGGACATATGATTTACAAGGCAAGAATAAGATCTGCCCGTTGCTTCCTTAAATATCTCATACAAACATTACTACACTTTTTCTAAGGCAAGTCATTATGTATTGAAAGATATCCATGAAGAAGAAAACTTTTTCATTACCGATAACGACAAACTTGAATCACAAACACTGATCTGCTTCTAGAAGAAATACAGAAGCGTTTGAATAAAAATTCATTATATGAATACAATTCTCCAGAGGGAAAAAAAAAGTAAACCATTCAAATACTTGCTTTTTGTATTTACACAACTATAATTAAAAAGAGCCATGATAGCTCTGACAACACACGGGGCGGGGAAAGGGGGGAACTTTTACATTTTTTCCCACCTGAAATATTCTTTTTCAATAAATATGCTTTCCCTTGTCTTATTATTTGAATTTATATTGTAATAATCCCTAGAGGCCTCTTTGCTTCAGCTTTACATATTGATAACACAAAATCACTAGGGGGTTTACCCAGAGAGAGAGCGCGCACAAGGGAGAGAGCAGGAGAGCCCCTCTACTGTGAGATACTGTATCAGTTACAGGATAACAGTGGCTCTCTCACCTTCAAACTACAAAACATTTCACAAAACTGAGTGACCTATGGAAGGCCAGCTAAGAATGCTTTACAAGCAAACTATCATAAAACTCGCAACTTGGCTCAGGACTAGGCTGCGGCATCAGTTTAGACCCAGATACCCTATATTTTGTTGTAAGAATACGCCTGCATCGTGATTAATAAACTGTTATTTTTTGAGCTTTTGAGCTTATTTTATTTCGAAATCGAGCTCATTTTCATCTTGAGGCTATTAGGACATTATTACCAACTTCCAATTATTTGCTCTAGCCATCCGTTTTAATGTCAGCACTAACATTTATATTAGCATGAAACAAAGCAAGCAGATCTAATTTGCTTATTAGGACAGAAAAGCTGGCACTCTAGCACTTGGAAGAAAAAGGAATAGCAAACTCTGAGCAGCCAACAGAGCCTGGTAAGTGTTGCCTCACGTTGCTTTCAGCGCTTTAGAATTCCCCATAGAATTTTAAAAGACGGGCGACCTTATAACTGCGAGAAAGAATTCTTGATAAAAATACATAGGAATACTTCAAAAACATTCTTGCAGATACGTCACCATGCAGACATAGACCCTTCAAGCCATGCATAAAGACATAAGTGTTTGGCAGTAACCTGTTTAAACATTTGTACGTTTCCAAGAACAAAAAACATTTTTCTGTTCTTACTATAATTGTCAGAAGAGGCCTGATAGTGTTTCTTCTCACAAGTTTAGTCTCTCCAAAACCCTTAAGCTACCACCATTTACCACAACACAACCATTTTAAATCATAAAAATAAAAAGCAACATGCAATGAAAACCTCTCTTACTGAGCTTACTTATTAAAAAAAAAAGTTTGCATATATTTCCAACATGGTGATTCTACGAAGTTTAAGAAAGAACTGCAGCTATTTTTTGTTGTTGGGTTTTTTTTGGGGGGGGCGATGGGAAAGTGAGTTGGCAGTGGTGTTTACCAAGCTCCCTTACAACATTTCTGGTCACTTTTTTTTCCCCTCTCCTCCAGGAAAGAAAATTTAAATGCATAATTTTCAAAATCACTCTCACATGAATCCGCCAATTATTTCTGTGGGAATGAAAAAGCATGCTCTCTAAAAAATATCTAAATTTTCTGAACAGCTCTAGTATTAAATAGGCTAGAATTGTTAACCTAAGATTTGGTAGGAAAATAAGTCTGAGTAGTGACTTTCACAGATTGTCAATGGAGATGCACTGAAGAGCAGCGTCTAAAAAAATAACAACAACAACAGCCTTCTGAAGCATGGCAAAAGTTTACTTAAAGGTTCACAGCACCAATCAGGACTACTTTTAAATCAAGGGTGACAATCACGTATACACAGGTGGCTACTTGTACTACACAATGAACTGATTCGCTCGTGATTTTCAAGCGTTTCAGGAACCTGCAGACTCTGCAAGGCAGCAGATAAGGAGTACCTTATATGACAAAGGCCTCCAGCTAGATAAAATAAAGTTCTGATTGTGCACCACTGAAGAGTTTCAGATAATGGATTTCCTTACGGCTTTGGAGTTCATCAAAATAGAAGGGGGGGGGGAGGAGAACTTGTCTTGAGAAATTTAGGAGTCAGGAAATACCAGTCTGTTTGCATTTCTAACACTGCTGTTCTTCTGTGCTGACAAAAATATCTTCTTTAATTCCATGAATACTTGCAATAGTATAATAGCCCCCCTAATAGCCCCCCTCAAACACCGCACTGAAGCAATTTTTCCCCCTCCAGATACTTGAGACATCTTGTAAATAACCTGTCAATTTACTTTCATTGATGCCTTCCCATCTAGATAGGTTACTAGGAACTGAAACTTGGACATGTACGAGACATCTGCATTAAAAAAAAAATCATGTATTAGAAAAAGCTGAAGTTGTATAGCATCATTTACAGAACGGTACTGAATAATAAGCAGCAAGTGATATAACACAGACACCACTGAGCTGCAGGTGCTTGCAGAGGCTACATTTAGCTCCTTCAGTTCTGGGAGGGAGAAAGGATCTGCCACTCCTGAGCCGTGTGACAGTTATGTTAAGCGGAGGCTCTGGAAGAGTTAAATCAGACTGTTAAAAAAATAAGATTTTAAAGAAGAACACCTGATAAGGGAAGTGGAAAAGATGCACAAGAGAAGAAAACACACGCTCCTGCAGCATGCAGATTTTACTCTGCTCTCCCCTCCGCCAAGGCAAGCCAAGATCGCTAGAAACAAATCTACCGACCCGACAGTTAAACCTTGTCCCGCACCGGGAATTTGCCGGGCAGCAGCAAGGGGACGGCGCGCCCGCC